TAAAAAAAAAAAAAAAAAAAACTAGTGGCCGAGGACGAACTACCAGCGAGCCTTTTTGTAAACACTACAAGATCAGGACCGATTAAATGGTCCAAAGACTTCACAAACATCCAGATTTAAATTTTTTCCTAAGTGTTTGTTTGCCTGTGGACTGTAACTCTTTGATGTTTTCAGGGCCGAACTTGGATGACGTCAATTGACGTACTAAGGTAGGGTTGGGAAAAACAAGACAATTACGTCAAGATTAAGTTAATTTTCACGGGCGTGGATACCCTCACGTTTTGTTTTTGAAGTACAGAAGATGTAAATCGCCGTTCACCAATTTCCAAAGCAATGGAGAACAATTTTTCAATCAAAGGACAGATGACCATGGAAAGTGTGCGTGCAATAAATACTAGGAACTTCGGTCGACTTATCTTAATGAGCGAGACGCAGCCTCGGAATTATATTCCCGTCGATGAGGCCGACTGTAATTCGATGTTTTTAACGTCGTTAAGAGAATAGACACATGATAACAAACAGACGATCTTTTTACCGTATATGGCAACGGTAATCAGTAGTACTGTTTGAAGTCTATTGGAAAAAAAGAACAAAAACAACTGAAAATCGCGCTCCACCGCAAAACATTCATAAACGGCGGCCAAATTAGCTAGTTCTGATTATCAATATTATCAGTATCATAAAAAATATTTTCAGTATTACCATCGCTATTGTAATACTTGTTATTGTTGTTGTTGTTGTTGACGGCTTATTTTGTTTATTCAATTTGTTCTTTATTTCATAGTCATATCATTATTTATTATTCTATTGTTTAATCGAAAATGAGTACTACTCTACCCCTGACCTAACGAAGTTCTTCCCCACGGGAGGGGGGAGGGGACGAAAGGAAGGACGCTTTAGTCTGATACTTTCACTCGTTATCAACGGGTAACAACCACTTATTACGCATAAAGATTGTGGAATATCGAACTAATGAAGTCAAATCAAGCATCTACAAACAGATCGTTTCGACTTTGGGCCGTGCACTGCCAATAATCACACCCCAGTCAACTGTCAGTGGGCGGAGAGGTAAGATGCTTAATGAAACGTCGAGGATTCGAAAACTCGTGCGTACACGGCTGGCCTAATTAGTGGGTGTGCCTCCGTAACCCCCTCCTCCCCCTCCCCCTTCCCTTCTTTCTCCCTTCGACAAGGGAACCCTCAACTCTTGCCTTTACGAGTGGCTATCTTTGACGAGAACTTCGGATTGTAATCTATCGAATCAGTGGTTTATTATGTACACTACCTTCTAGCGTTATCATACAACCTGTATTTCTTCACTTCAATGCTATAGGTAGCCACATGCAGTCCCAGACTGCCTATTTTTCACGTTGCCCGATCTCTGTTCCATCTCGGCTCCTTAGTGGAGCTGTGTGCACCCGCGGGAGAGAGGAGTGCGGCAAGCAATTAATAGAGGGTCGTTACGGTTCATTGGCGGAGTGTTGATTGAATATTATCGACCTTGTCAGCTTATATCTATCGGTTTTCCTGTTGAGGTGACTGTGCTATTTAAAAAGGAAGAGCGATCCAAGGTAAGATGAAAGGCTGCTTCGCTTTCGAGCACCAAACAAAGTCCTGAACGACTTACGAAAGTCTTCAAGCTTTGGACAGATATGCTGGTTCAATATTTGTTTTCGTTAAACGCAGTTTTTGATAGATGATTCTCGAACACGACTTCATATTTTGGTTATACTGAAATATTGCACACGTACTTAACAGTCGTTTGACAACTTTTCGTTGTCTGAAATTTTACTTGCTCTCGATTTAGAGCAAATTGTCTGTGACCTGCCTGGGCACGTTACCTCAGACTCGCTGATTTCACACGCATAGCTGAATAATACTGGTTGTAAACAAAGGGCCGATTAATCATTATTCCAAAGCGAACGAAATTTATCTTAACATTAATTCACCGTGAAAATGATGTAATTTGCACCAACGTGCAGAGATGTCATCCGTCATGACTACTTTAGAGGTATGATAAAGCTAATTCTGCTGCACGACCAGCTGCTTCGAAGAACAATCTGATTACTGTTGTTTTTAGTTCTTTGTTTAGTTTTGAGGTGATTACGAAATAGTGTGACGCTGACTAAGACATTTTTAGTGTAACGCAAGTCAACGAATATTAGAATCATGTCATGTTCGTTGACTCCCTTTTCACAGCCTATCTCTTTCCCAGGAGGTTTTCTTGATTTGATTGCGTGACAGAACAGCAGGTGCCCTCAAATCGCAGATATTTATATTATTTTTAGGTTACG